AACCATTATGCTAACTGCTGGTCCCAGGAATTTTCTCATTTTAAAAGAATTATTCCAAAATTTTTACATCAAGAGATTATTTTTGTCAATTCTAATTGTAGTTGTAGCATCTAGTAATTACATGTTTTACCAAAGGGATTCTAAGACAAATAACAGAACTGTATTATCACTCTTTTTATGCACTAATGTGTAATGATAAAGGAATGAACAATTGGATTAAAAGTATTAGCAGATGTTCTAAATATGTAGCAATTTGCTTATAATCCTCTGTTCAGTGTCTGTGATGTGATGCAAAACTCTCCCAAATCCTAAATAACTATGTTGTGTTCCTCTGTGTAATTCTGACAATTACAATATTACCACAACAGAAACTCTTTCTTTTATGTTATTTTTTTCTGAGAGGTTTTTTTGTTTTTTGTTTTTTGTTTTGTTTTGCTATAGGAAACGTGTGCTCACCAGAAAAACAGAGAGAGACCGAAAGCGAGAGGTTGGCCACACCGCAATCCTTTCTCCTCCATTCTCCTCTAGGGATCTTGGGCACGCACACACACATATCCGGCATCCATTTAAGCCAAGGGTCCAGGACTCAAACCGCAGTCAACTACGCATTTAAGCCACCGGTCCAGGACTCAAACCGCAGTCAACTACACCGGCGTCCAGTGACATAGCCATTACACCAACTGCTGGTCCCAACAGAAACTGTTTACTTAGTTGACTTTTCTATATTTACCCTACTGCAAATTAACTACTTACTCAATATGAAAGGTCATTTGCCTAACAATATCTTAAGTCACATTTAGCTTTAAAGGTATCAGTTCTCATTCATCTTCTCTAATTGCCCATAATATTCTCTCTAAAAACATTTCACTTCATCTCTATGGAAAACCCAAAAGTTGGCAGTACATATAGATTTCTTTCACTCTACGATAACCTTTAAGTTTTCTCTCTCTTTTTTTTTTCCTCCTCCTAATATTACTTAATAAGTCTTAAAGGAGACTTGTAACTGAAGTCTCCTTGGGTGCCAATAAAGTTGATCAAAATGGTTGATGCTAACATAAATTCATAACAATTAGCTTCTGTCAATCAGATAAAGGGAGAGAATCACTTAACTTCACATAGACTTCTCTCTATTTCCCTCTGAAATTAGTAATATATTTTACAAAAAGACTTAGGTGATTGATTTCTCTAAAAATGAATTTTAGACCCACTTTATTCATAATTTTCAAAAAGTAGAAAAACCCAATGAATGAAAAACAATGTGATACATCCACACAATGGAATATTGCACAAATACTGTAATAAAGAGGGAGAGAGCGCGGGGCGCCCGGCGGAAGCCGCGCGGGGCGCGGGAGCTCATGCCCCCGGAGCGGCG